GCTATGTGTGTCTTATTTTCAGTCTCAGGACCCCGAGCAAGTCGTTTCGGTGAGGTGAAGCCGCGTGAACTAGGGGGTTTCTCTGCTGTGGGCTCCTCCAGCGTGCAAACGCTTGGTTACCGGCGCTGGCAACGGAGAGAGACGGGAAGGTGAAATTCAGCGTTAAGGGGGCGATAAGGTGTCCCCAGGATCACCTCCGTCACTCGCTGCTGCTGCTGCTTGCCGCCGACCTGAGCTGCTTCCCCTTTCAGCCTGGCTTCGGCGCATGGGTTTCTGGGATGACTCATCTCATGGCCAGGCTTACAGCTGTGGTGAATAAGGCGGTGGGTGAGGGAGCACAGCCGGGCCCGGAGTGCTGCCCCTTTCCCGAAAATCCCTTGCCGTCTAGCGCGGGGCAGGCACTGCCGCAGCCCGCGCCTGCAGACGCTCTCCTGGGTCGTCCAGGGCGGTTTTCTGCTGTCGGACATGGTCCCTCTCAACAAGCGACTGAAGGCCCGTCTTAAAACCAGCTACTAAAAAAAATAAAAAAAAACCCCAAAGACTAATTGCTTTTTGCTCTTACTGTTGCTATTAGCAAGATGAATGTCATTCCTTGGGAATGACAGCTTGGTCTCAGCATTCGGTGATACATGTGTGCGAGCCAGAAATACAATGTTTCAAGAAAAAAAAATTATTATCCTGCTTCAGCTTGTGCGTTTCAGTAGTTGCTTTATTTAGATGTGAACACCCCTAGATTGTAATCTGCAGTCAAAGCCAGCAGTGAAACTGGTTATATGTCATTGTCTAAATTCCAGTTAAGTTCCTGTGCCTTGTTGTAACACAGATTACACAGAACCCATATATTTACACAGGTTAGTACAAGAAAAGCAACTGTCATTGAAGGAGTTGTTATGAAAGCGTGACAGAAACTCAACCCATCAGCCACCTCGGAAAACCATCCTTTCCTCTGGGGAAGCGTAGTCTCCGTCCTTATCAAGGCCCAAAGTTTATCAATCCCATAGACTGCAGGCTTTGCCTGCAATTAAATGTTCAAAGCACGCGCACTGAGCCTGTATGATGTCAGGTGAACGATACCCGCGGTGAATGCCCTCGTTCCACAGACCTGGAACTTGGAACGCCCTGTCCGCCACTGCCTCTCCTCAACACAAAGGGAGAGAAATTCCGTCACCTATGAGGAAAATCTTGCAAGATCTTTTTGGTGCTGATCATGTTTTCTTCATCAAAATCTGTAACCATGCAGTCATTTTGTGCATGTTCTTTTTATCCATGTGAGTTTACTTCGATTGTCTTTCTATGGTCTTTTTCCAGAGTAGTTGTACTAAAAAGCTCTTAAGGCTTTCCATCAGGTAGCTATGTTTAGGACTTAGTGTTACTTTTCATGCACATGCGAAAAGAAAGACTTCTGAATCTCCACAACACTCTGCATTTGACTTACCGGTCTCCAAATAGTTTTGATTGAGCTTGTTGAAGTCTAACACATTGTAAAAAACAGAAACAGCTGCCCTCTGCCACAGCATGCATTTTAACATACATTGAAATAAAGTGTGGTTGACGTTTAGCTGAACTGATCATTAGCATAATTTGTGAAAACACATGAAAAACACTGTAAATCAGGCCTCGTGAGCAGCTATGAAACTACAAAACGG